CCCTCCTCCCCTCACTGCAGCCGCCTACTCTCGCCTTCATTTCAGGCAAGGCGAGGCGCATCTCAAACAAGCCTAACAACTGAAAGTTGGACGACAGGCTGCTGAGAAAAACCGTGACCTTGAAGGCTATTCTGTTGCATCTGCACAAATCCCTAAATTATGACTATGCATTAAAGATAATTTTAAATATTTTACTAAAATGGGTGGCAGTTGTTAAAGGTTTATGTTTTTGTTTTTTGTTTTTCATTTATTTGGCAATTTATTTATTTTATTTGGCATATAGGCTATTGTATTAAAATGGTTTCAATTTGGAACAGATTAAACTATCAAGTAGGTACTATTATTCATCACATTATTATTTGTATTTCTTTGTTTTGTATTGAAAGTAAACATCCAGAAAACCAATGCTGCAAATGATGGTGACAATGACAGTGTATGTCTAATTTCTATTTTGTTGAAAATGTAATGGCAATCATACAGCTACTCCCTGAAACTTTTTTGAGGACTCAAGTACTTTTGTATGAGGACTTTCGGGCCATTTGTGTTTGTAAATGTAGTCTAGCTAGCATGATGCGGGGGGAAAACAGCCAAAGATAAACACAAAGAATAATATATAGGTCATTATGTCATTATGAATCACAATCGTTCTTATCGTATCCTCCTGTAACCCAGAAAAAAAAAAGTTTTGTGAATTTAGTATTTGTTCATGTCATTACATTGTTTAGAGCATAAGAAAAAAATGGGAAAATAACAATTTTGAAGAATGATATTGTATGCATATGTTATGCTGTTCTCTGTAGAGGACACCATGACTCAATTTAATAAATCAATAAAAAAACAAACAAATAAATAAATAAAATGACATGAATAGATATGAATAGGCAAAAACAATGGATTTTTTTTAAATCACCAATACATTTTTAGGTTTCAGGATATTTGTTTTGTACCAAACTTTGTATAAAGATGATTCTCAACCATGTTATGAAAGATGTAACAGAATGATTTGATATACCATTTTGCTTTATGCAATATGTGTGTAAAATTGCCATAAGAGTTTTTTCCCATTATATACAATGTATCTATACACTGTATCTAATTTGCATATTAATAGTTGCATATTATTAAAATTATAATATTGCATATTGAAGTGCCATCTGAAATGTTCTTCAAAATTTAGCATTTTATTTCATGCTCTATATTTATGTTCAGTTATTTATGTTCTGAACCTACACATGAGAGCCTGAGAAAAATGCTGATTTTAGAAGAACATTTCAGATGGCACTTGGCTCTTCAAGTGTAATAATGGGAGTAATAACTGGCAAGATTTTCATAATAATATGTAATATTTTATATATTGAAATATGACCCCCATATGAAATATGAAATATGATCACTACATTAACGTCAGACATTTTTAAAGACTAAGAAGAGGGCGTGGTCATAGTCAAACCTCCAAACATTTGGTATCTCTGAAAAGCCCTGAATTATGTGCTCTTTACAGGACATCTGTAAACTGTGACATGTAAGATCTCAGAGAAATTCACTGAAATATAATGTCCACTACAGAAGAGAAAGGTCTGGGTCCCATATAAATGGTAAATTAACGAATGAGACATTTGGTTTTATTTTTTGTTTCCTTTTATTGTCTTTATATATTTTCCTTCATTTTACGGTTTGGCATTAGTTATCGCAAGAATTTACATCTTCAACTGAATAACAAGTACAAACAATTTAAACAATTTAACAATTCTGTACACATTTTAGTCGAGGAGTTTTTCATAAATATTTTGTACTTTTAATCAAGTATAAGCTATACCATAAATTAAAAACAAGAGGCTTTTCTCAAAATTACTCGAAGTGGATGATTTCCAGATATCTGTAACATACATGGAAATAATTCGTACAATAATATACATTCACAGAATTGTGTCCATTTTAACGCACAACATTTGACTTCGGCACTTAGGATCCCCGTTAATACTTTTATGGTAAGACAATCATGTAACGTCAAATACTCTATATTCTAATGACAGGAATATTGTATTCAAACATCGTAACTTGACACGACCTTACTGTAAAACATTTATACAGTCAGGAAAATACATCCATCCTTCGTCTTTGGCAAATTACCAAAGAACATGAAAACAGCCTTCATTTTAGTCACATAATACTTTTCCTTGAGTCACAGTGCAACACTGAATCTTCGACATGCTGAGAACATAAGCCCTCATTTACTATTTACAAATAATATTTTATTTTATATGCAGTTCTTGGTGGAGTCCTTAAACGTACCACTCGCTAAAATTGGACGCTAAGCTGCCGTGGTCGCTGCTGTTGAGCGCGGCAGAGTCCGGCGACATGGTGCTGTGTGCTTCTGAACACGGAGAGATCAAACTGGAGGGAGTGGAGGACTCGTACCCGGAGCTTCCGGCAGGAGAGGAGTCGACCACCGGACTTTGATCCTCGTGAACCTACAAAAGGCATCAAACACTTAGAATCAGTTCATTCTGACTAAACTATGATATGCAAGGTGATGGATTGGAGAACAGAGAATAGCTGTCAGATGATTTGAATTCTCACCTTCATGTGTTTCCTTAAGGAGCTGGGATGAGTGTAAGACTTGTCGCACAGTTTGCACAGGTATGGCTTGTCGGACGTGTGAACGTGCATGTGCTTCTTCCGGTCACTGCTGTTGGCGAAACGTCTGTCACAGCCGTCGAATTCACACTGGAACGGTTTTTCTCCTGAACGACAAAATATTTTCTATTTAGATGTATGTTTTACCACACTGGTTAGAACTTTACATACAGAGTCAATGAATGCTACTACTACAAGTAGCCTACTCTCTCAGAAAAGTGGGCTGATGCTGCAAAAGGGGTGATGGCGCAATCGTACCAATTTACGCATTCAAATTTAAGAGCAATTCACACTTACAAAAGCATCCGTTTTTAATTATAACACATCACTATAGGATTTCAAATCGTAAACTAACTAGTCTTGCGATTGTTGAGACACCAATGCGTAACAAACGTATGCAAAAAGTGTTGTTTGGCATTACTGAAGAAGGTTCAAGTTCTAGCTTTGAAACTGAAATGACCATTTAAACTCAAGTACTGCTTGTATAAATAATCACCTGTATGTGTCCGTTTGTGTATTTTGAGATTCTCTGAGCGCGCAAACACCTTGCCACATCCCGGGAAGGGGCACGCGAATGGTTTCTCTCCCGTGTGCACTCGAATATGATTCACCAGTTTGTATTTTGCCTTGAATGGCTTGCTCTCCCGTGGACAGTCCTCCCAGAAGCAGACGTGGTTACACTGTTCTGGGCCGCCGATATGCTCCGTGGACACATGCGTGACTAGCTCGTGCATGGTGCTGTAAGTTTTGCTGCAGCATTTTTTTGGGTCACCAAGCTCCGGGTCGATCCATTTACAAATGAGCTCTTGTTTGATGCACTGTTGTCGCATGTAGCGGTAGAATGCGCCGGGATGGTGCGCCATGTTCATACCCATATTTAGGCCATATTGACCGTAAGGATCGGCCCGTGCATTGGGCACTTGGTGATACTGCTCCGTTCGCCCGAAAACCTCACCGGGTAATCCAAGGCGCCCGTTTAGCATGTTTGGAGAGCCGTGATGGGACCCGTGCTGCTCGTGGATTCCAGGGAAAAGTAGGTGACCCTGACCTTCCGGGTGAGAGTGATGGAGAGGCCCTGCTGTGGAGCTGAAGA